TCATCTATTATTCAAGAATGTACCTAAATGGAATTATTTCATACTTCTATTTTTGTCAACATATAGTACTGCTCATTTCAACTGTCTCCTCAGTGAATAGTCTGCTAACGAAATTAATACGCTTAAAGTAGTTGCGCTTTGCGTACAGTCTCATTTTGATTCCACAGCATAATATCAGAATATTTCATTATAAAAAGTCAACGCGAGCAAGCGTGGTGTTAAAAAAAGCACAATGAAAGAGATAAATTTGAGGTTTAATTTTTGTAACGACATAGAAGAGATATCGCGTACATGTAAAACGTGAAAACAGTATAACGAAACCATCACAAGTTTACCTTAAAAGGTATTGTAAGATTTCAAAATGTTACAGATAAGTTGAGATTCTTGTTCGCAGCATTAGAAGAAACATGGCCATAAAGAAATGAAAATAAAAAATCATGATATAAATGTTAAGAAGGAGAAACCAACACATATTAAATAAAAGAACTTTAGTAACTTGGATTTTTGGGTACATAATATTCACAAACTTCTGTTTGAACTTCCTATATTCTATAAATAATACTGTTACGTCTCTGGTCGTTTGTTAATTTCCCGCTAAAAATTCTTCCCGAGGAACTTCAGCGATACAATTCCTTTCTTAAATAAAACTAGTTTATTCTTTCTCAATACAACTTTGCAATACACTTAATTTCCACGGTCACTTTAACTTTAACACGCGCTATAATTCACATCGATTCACGCACTTTACTTACGGTTACTACCGCTCACTTGACTGAATTATCTGTCTATCTGCAATTATATATTCCGTCACCCCACCTCCGTTTTATTTGCCGGGCTTATATACAAAAATTGAGGGCGTCTGGCAAACTCTAGAGTTGCCAAGAACAGTCACGATCCTTCTAGAAACTCATGACGTGTTACCAGCGTCACGTGACTTCCGCTGTCGTAACAATACTAATAGATCAATAGGAATTACTATATGTAAAATTTAATAGGATTAACTCTCTCTTCCCTTCATATTTAAATATCCGCCCGAATTTTCGCATGTTATCATGCACTACTGTAGGTTATCTGAAACTGAAATAAAAACCTGCTTTTTTGAGGTCATTAAAAAAAATCTGATACAGAAAGGGTTAAACCTCTGTTTTACTTGCGACTTTTCGTGGAACTGTTAACATCCTTAAAAGACAGATTCTTGATCTCTTTTTTAAATATTATTTAATTTTTAAATCTTGATATGATGTCGTTATTATAACATTCATTCCTTTCTCTCTCTCTCTCTCTCCTCTTCACCAAAAAATTCATACAAGATTCTACTAAAAGTGTTTACATCAGTGGTATTTCACAAGACAATTCCATTTTATGAAGGCGTATAACAGGCCTTTACTTAAAAAATCAATTTCTCCATCTCAAAATCGCTATACTTAAAGCTCCAAGTCAACATTTCTCTAGCAAAGTCCCGGTTGTGGCAACATGTGCGCTGCGTGGGGTGGGTCAGATTTTGGAAAAACTAACGAAATCAAATAACTCATATTCACTACTATCATCTGCCCCCCCAGTGGCACAGCGGTATGTCTGCGGACTTACAACACTAGAAACCGGGTTTCGATACCCGTGGTGGGCAGAGCACACTACTATCACACGTCATTGTACATTAACTAATAAATCATATGACAACGTATTATTGTAAAACATGGTTTTCCCCGATTTCTATAATTATTGGTATTACTAGATGTACTTGAGCAGCGTCCCCGAAAGTGTTCTGTTTCAAGAGTAATTAAAACTAAAATTAATTGTAACAAATATTTTTATTTCTTGCTTTTGAAGTTCATATACCATTTTTAAGCTGTTATCTTCCTCACATTTACAGTTTTGTTTTAATTGTCATATCAATTAATTAGCATATTCCTGGATTGAAAATGTAAAATCTTCACTTTTTTTTTGTCACATTTTTTGGAATATAAAGGTTTTTTTTTTTCAAAGAACTGTTTGTTTGGTTTGTTTTGAATTTCACGCAAAGCTACACGAGAGCTATCTGTGCTAGCCGTCCCTAATTTAGCAGTGTAAGACTAGAGGGAAGGCAGCTAGTCATCGTCACCCACCGCCAACTTTGGGCTACTATTTTACCAACGAATAGTGGAATTGACCGTCACATTATAACGCCCCCACGGCTGAAAGGGCGAGCATGTTTGGTGAGTTGGGAATTAGAACCCGTGATCCTCAGATTGCGAGTCGAGCGCCCTAACAACTGGCCATGCCGGGCCAGTGAAATGGGATTTGAACTAAACTATTTGGATTTTTTTTTGTTTACTTGTTTTCGCATTCTTTTGACGTTAGTGGACCTTGACCTTCCTGGAGCTGTTTTTAAACCAAACGTACAAGACACCGAGAACAGTCTTACCCCGTTCCCTGAGAATGACGAGCTTGACCTGTCGAAATTAGTTGGGTTTGTTGTATGTAATTGTTAATTCTTTAATCATTTACGCATTATTATGCTGGTGTGTTATTGCTGTTTTTGAGTTTGCGTAAAGTACTTTTTTTTGTGTCAGTAGCTTCTGTTTTACAAGCAAAGCAAAACAATAACATGAGTCAATTCATCTTCATTCATGGCAAATAATATATCAAGAATAGCTTACACTGATGCTGGTCGCCATTTGTTATTGTTGCGTCATCGAGATCACGTGACAATTCTCACGCTCTCTTGTTTCTAGAACTATCCCGTATCTTGGCGAATGGTCTAGTATTTCTTTCCGAATATAACTCTGCGATACACTTAATCTCAATACTCGCGCTAAAACAACACTGTAAAGAACGAACGTTAACTTCAACAATACCGTGTGACTGCAGTTCAATTACTCACTAACTACACCTTACATTCCTCTCTTTTATATACCAGCCTACCCTATCTAGTGCTGACCTTTTCCACTGCCTTTCACCCAACACAGCGTTGAGCTTTTTCTACTGTCCTTAACACAACAAAGCGCTGACCTTTTCCACTGCCTTTCACCCAACACAGCGTTGAGTTTTTTCTACTGTCCTTAACCCAACAAAGTACTGACCTTTCACACAACACAGCGTTGAGCTTTTTCCACTGTCCTTATTAACCCAACACAGCGCTGAGCTTTTCCATTGCTTTCCACCCGGTATTCATGTATACAATCGTAATAAATTTTCTCCGAAACAGGCCGAAGTTTAAAGTAGGTCACAGCCAGTAATTCTATAAATGGCTGTGTTTCTACTGATGCTTTTAAAGACACATGTAGTTACCTGTAATGAAAAACACAGGTAACTAGTTCAATGATGATAATGTCCTAGACTTATGTTGTTACAAAATATGGTTGAGAAATCACTTGTAAAAGGTAGAAGGAAAGCGTTACAGCTCACTGAATAGGAACGTTCGGAATATCAAAGGTTAGTTATATTATAGTATGTTCTGCCAGACTTTCAAAAAAATAGATCTTCAAAAACATTCCAATATGTAGATAATCTGGTCTTAAAACACCAGTTTTTCTTGATTTAGCTCCTCAAGTGCCATGTTAACT